CGGGAATTAATGATAAAATACACAGTTAGAAGTGTCAAGGAATTGTGGAAAATTATCTATGACCCGTTTATACCAGATGGTAATGAATTTGATAAAAGTCTTCATCATGATCTCGATTTTATTAATTATGCGTACCGGAGTATGTTGTTTTTATGGGATCGGGAAGAGAATCCTTTTGATTCTTCGAGGTTAGAAGGATGGTATGAGATGAACATTTGGAGCAAATTGATCGATCCGACATTTCACAATATTAACATTGATTTAGTGCGTGGGGAAGGCATGAGCTGTGCTTCAAGTGATAGAAAGAATTTTATAAGAACGATTAATGATCGAAAAAAAATTGGCCGAAAAGAGGATGGATTTTTAGGTTGCGTGGGGATCGCCTGGAATTTGGTGCCATAGAGGCAGGTCGTAAATGGGAAGGACAGAACGGAACTAAATACTTGAATGATTCCTTAAAACTAAATAAAATGATGAAGGACATGATTGCACAGCTCACTACTATATGTGATGAAAGAGAAGACCTTGTTAGGAAATTGGAAGTTATCGGGATTCTTCATGGAGCTAATAGAATTCAAATAATCACGATGGATTATCCAAAAGGATATATTTCTCGCGTCAAACATTGGAAGTTCTATGAAGTTTCCGGACGTCTAACTAAATCCAATCCACTTGCTTTAGTCTTGAAGGAAATATTATGCGCGAAAGCTATTATTCTACGGACATTAGACCTGATAAACCAAAAAGATGACATTAATCTTGAAAATTTCCTTAATGACTCTGATGAACAGGATGGGTACCATACGCCTCCTCCCAAAGTTAATACAACTCCTACTTTCGAGACTCCGAAGACAGAGAAAACCAAAGGTGCGATTAATAAAAAAAAATGAGATGTTATTATGTACTTAATATGAGTAGTTATTAGCTTACAAGCCTTTACTGGAATTTTGTGACCTAGTCACACATATAACAATTATACTTAGTACATGTAATAGAGATAAATAAATCTTAATGGGTTTAACATGTGTAACTGTGTATCGGAAAATAGAACTCGTTAATCGTGGCACGCCAATTCATTTCTCTTATTGCCAATTTAATATATATCGATATTACAGAAAAAGTTAATTTTATTCTGGAGTAGCAAAGCCACGAATCTACGACCATTCCGGCAATAATAATTTTTATAAATAAAAGAAGGGGGTCCGGTGACCTCCCCATTTACGCGATCATGTAAATAAGTATTGGTTATTATTTTTACTGTTATTTCAATTCCACCCATAATTTTACACT